AAATTTCTGTTTATTAGAAGCAGCACAAGTCCAATCTGATGCTCAATTATGTACTTTGTTCGCTACTATTCTTCTATTCTGCAATTCTGTAAATCCTTAAATACTTTAGGAAACTATTTTTCCACTTTTAGTGATGATATCTGTTTCCAATTTCATAATACTGCAACTACTAATCATACAGATACTACTACTACAAATACTAATATTTGTAATCAAGCATTATTATATTTACAATCTTTATTAAATAGACATAGAAAATGTCTTGCCGATTTCCCTAACATGCCCTTACCAACTATTCTTCCAATGTCTGAACACCCAAATCATCTAATCACTAAAGAACAAAACTATAGTATCGAAGAATTAACGCAAATAGTAGAAAATAGAATCTCTAGCCTAAATACTGATCAGCGATGTATTTTCAAAAAAATTACAACTGCAGTTGATAATCAAAAACTCTGCTTTATTCTTTATTAATGACCCAGGTGGCACCAAAAAGACTTTTTTGTATAAGTATTTATTACTTATTTTTTATATTTTTATTTCTTTATTTATTTATATTTTTATCTCATTTTATTTTTATTTTTATAGTGTTTTATTTGCTAAAATTCATTTAGATGGATATATTGTACTTGTAGTTACTTTATCAGACATTGCTACTTTACTTTTACCAGGAGGTCAAACTGCTTATTCAAGATTCAAAATCCCTATTAATTTAAATGAAGATTCTACATGTTCAATTTCTCACAGCTCAGATCTTGCTTTACTACTTCAAAAAACCTACCTTATCATATGGGATGAAGCTCCAATGATGTATAGGTTTGCATTTGAAGCCGTAGATCAAACTCTAAAAGATTTAATGAAAGCTATAGACCCATCTTTAGAAAAAAGACCTTTTGGAGGTAAGATCATAATATTAGGTAGAGATTTTTGCCAAATTCTTCCCATAGTTGTAAAAGATGGTCGAGAAGAAATTGTTGGATCATGTTTATGTTGATCACCTTTTTGGCAACATGTTCAGCTTTTGAAATTAAAATTAATATACGTCTTCAGCGTACTACTAATGCTTTTGAAAATCTTGAGCATACCGATTTTGCTCGATGGCTTCTTAAACTTGGTGAAGGGCGTATTCCTACTATTGAACCTGAAAATCATACTATACAACTTCCTGATAAGATTATACTATCATCTTCTGATTTAAATAACCTGATCCCATTTGTATATTCTGAATTTTCCCTTTCTACCGTATCACACCATTTGGTTGAGTATGCTTTGCTTGCTCCAAAGAATAACCAAGTAGATATAATTAATACTACAGTGCAAGACAGCATAAGACATCCAATATGCCAAATTTTAAAAATTTTTTATAATAAAATTTTATATTAAAAAAATATTAACCAATCAAAATTTTTAAAAATTATATATAAATTTTGTTAAATTTATATATAAATGCCAAATTTTTAAGATCTATATATTTTTAAATTGGTATAACTTTTTTAAAATTAAAAATTTTAAAAATCCCTCTTTCAAATTTGTTGATCATATTAAAACAAATAAAATTGAAAGAGGGATTTTTATTTTAGTTTGTTTTAAAAAAGTTATAACCATTTAAAAAAATTGGATGTCTTATGCTGTCCCGCACTGTATTATTATGAATAAGTTTCCAGGAGACCCTATCGGATATTTTAGTGCTGACTCGATAGAAACGCAGACAGAATCAGAAAATTTGTATCCTGTTGAATTTTTTCATACTTTATCTATTAGAGGCCTTCCTCCTCATAAACTTATATTAAAACCTGGTGTTCTCATTATGTTATTACAAAATATTCATCCTTCTAATGGACTTTGTAACGGAACAAGGTTAATTTGTAGGTCATTTCACAGACATGTTATCGAAGCCGAAATCATTACTGGGAAACATGCTGGAAACAGAGTATTCATTCCTCGCATTACAATGTCACTGTTGAATATTGATCTCCCTTTTAGCATCAACTGTCGTCAATTTCCAGTACAGCCAGCCTTCGCAATGACAATTAATAAAGCTCAAGGCCAAACTTTACAATGCGTTGGATTGTACTTTCCAACTCCTGTATTTTCTCACGGACAACTATATGTTGCCTGTTCAAGAGTCACCTCCCCAACCAAATTAAAAATTCTTACATCAAACAAGAATGGAGAAACTCAAAGTCTGACATCTAATATTGTTTATCCTGAAGTGCTTTACTAAGGTACTCTTTAAATCATTTTCATATTCATCTAATATACATTTTACTTATTTTTCCGTCTTTTCTATTATTCATTTACATTAGGTAAGTTTTGCCGTATATTAATTTTACAGTTTTATATCCCTTTAAAATTTATATTAATACATATAGCCTATACGCTTCTTTTCCAATTTGTTAAACTCATTATATCCCGATCTTTAGTTATCAATTCTTATTTCTATATATATATATATTTTTAAAAATAATAAAGTAAAAACTCACTTAACTTTTTATAACGTTCTCAATTCTTTTTTAAACTTATTATCATTATAGTATTAAACGGCCTTTTTAAATTAGTTATCCTCTTTATATACATTATGCACAAATCCTGTTAAAATAATTAATCATTCGACTATTAGATAAATCTTCCAATTAATTTAATAAAAATTTATAATTTTATATTAATTTATCGCGCTTATTCACATTTTTAAAACCACTTTTTATACCCTTATATATAAAGGTAGTATTTAACAAACCTCACTTTATTACTTTCAATATCGCTTTCCTAATTTTATCTCAGAATTATTATTACCCTTTAATTAAATAATTTTATTCGTTTGCTACTACATAAAAATACCTACTTTGCAAAAAATAATTTGCGCATAATCTATACTAAATTATAATAAATATATATTTTAACAATTGGGGCCTTTGCTATGATTTTTTTTTACTAAAAATAGATTTGTTATGATTTTACTAATTAAAATCTTGTGTAACAATAGCTCGGAGGGTCATTTTGTTAGCAAAAGCCCCAATTGTGCAACTTTTTACTAAACTACCTCTATTATTTCCTTAAGTCAAAATTGTTTTCCGTCTAATTTTTTATAATTTCTACTCGGGTTAACACTTTGAATCAGTTATTAAATTTACCCCTTTTCTCAGGAGTTCGCTCCTTTTCTTATATTTTAATCTCACAATAAAATTAAATAATATACTACTAATACCCACTTCTACTTTATATTTATACTTCTTATCCCGTCAGCAAAGCGACGGGTTACAACTAGTAATATTTATTAATTTTATACTCACCATCTAATAATTTAATTTACACATAATTGGTTAAAGAAGTTTTATTAAGTGGATTATTATTATAATGTTTTCAATTTGTAAATTAATTTTATACTTACTAACTAATAATTTAATTTATATAATTGATTAAAGAATTTTATTTAAATAGATTATTATAATGTTTGCAATTTATAAATCAATTTTATACTCACGATCTAATAATTTAATTTACGTATAATTGATCAAAGAAGTTTTATTTAAATAGATTGTTATAATGTTTGCAATTTATAAATTAATTTTATACTCACCAT